TCTTCTCCTCTTTGCAGTTGCCATGTTCTTCCTATTCCCATGCTTGCAAAAATGTACATTGTCCATAATGTGTGTGTGCCCTGCACTGGCCTTGTTCCCTGTGCCTGCTGGGATAGGTGCTGGGCTCCTTGTGACCCTCTGTTCTGGCTATGGAAGACGGATGGTTTTGTTACATAGTATTCTTTTTTGTAGCCACTAGGCAGGAGAATAGCTGCTAGGCAGCAGTCTTTTATGATGCTAGGTACAGTTTGACTGAGTCATACTTATTGTCTGCAATCACTGCTAAGCTACATGGTCGCAGCTCTGTCGATTCCAATTATTTGGACATATTCATTAGTTGTGCAACAATGAAACAACTTTTCCATTGCACAGGGCTATAAGTGGGTGTTTAGCATCAGCAATACATATCCTAAGCTGCATAGTGGCCCTGGTGATTTTCTGAAAAATTCTGTTCTCCTGGGAAATAAGCAGAAGATAGATGGACATGAAATCCATCATTAGCCATTTCTATGGCTAAAGACGAGACTCTTACTGAAAGAAGCAGACACCGACTGCCCTGCATTGACTGCCCCCCATCATGTGCATTGAAACAGCTGGATTAACAAAAGGAAACCCAGGCAAGATAGTGTGAGGTCTTAGAGAATTTAGCACTTTGGTGTCACATACATTACAAACTGCCATTTAATGTTACTTTGATGAACTTCTGTAACATTTTAAAGTGCAAATCCTATTCTGAGGAGAAAACAATGAATTCACCTTTAAAAAAATTTTAAATTCAACATCCTGCAACCCCCCTCCCAAAAAGCACACACAAGAGTGAACTATGTAATGCCTGACCAGAAAATCAACACCCCCAAATGATTCTGTTCATTGAGGACCTGAATCCAATACATATTTTGTGATTTTATTTGAATGAGGAATGCAATAGGTCCCTCAAGTTGTTTATTAGCTGCTAATGGATAATAAAATTTCCAAAGTGCATTTTTGTCCCATGTAAAAGTCATGAAAATCGTGCCTCTCTGCATCTGACTTCTCCACTGCGTCTGCTGCCAGGGACACGCTGCTTCACTCTAAAGGCTAAAGGCTTCTCAAGCCATGTAAAGAAGAGAAGTATTTTGCACCATGGTAAAAGTTCCTTTAATAGTTAGGAATTTCATTAAAATATCTGTGCCGAACTTCCGTGAAGAACAAGTCACAACATTCTGGATTGATTTGTGTGATTAAGTTCCGAACGAAAAAAGCAATCTTTCCTGTTGGCTCTCAAAAAAAAACATACGTCACACTTCCAGACAAAGGAAATCATTGAGCAGTTCTAGGAGCAAAGATGGTCTTGTAAGTACAGAATTTGTGTGGGATTGTTATCCGGCAGACAAAGTCAACACAAAGTTATATACTGGCACACGGCTGCTTGCTAGCGGCCAAGCCCATGCACACACTGACTTCCTTATCAGCCTAACTGTTAATAAAGTACATTCTTGCTGGAGAGTGCATTGCCTCACGTACCCTTGCATACCTCCAGACTGCAGGGTGGTGCCAGAAAACCCAAACTGGTCTAAAAGTCCTTCAGACAGAGCTAGACTTAGGGGTGATGCACAGCTTTAGTGGTCACTGGCCAGCTGATTAAGATGCCAGCTGGCCACACTCTCACCATGACTACAATGTCTACTGCAAACAGTTTTATAATGCAATGGGTGGGATGAACTGTCAATAAGTTACTCCCAAGAGCACAAAAAGAACACACTTGCTCATCGGACATGCTAAATATAATCGTTTTAGTTTTTAGTTTATCATGCTGTGTAATTTTCCCTGCTGCAATACACAAGCTTCTCATTAGTATTTTAAAATACTCCAGTCATAATTTCCATTCATTGTATATCAATTCATTGAATTATATATAATTTTAAGTCAATATTGACATCACTGATTCCAGATCAAACTCCAAGCAAGTTCGGAAACTTGAACCCTTAGATATGATTTACATTCCTTATGGATTCCTTCCTCTGTCCGTACTCCACTGAGTCTCCTCTTAATTTAAGCTACACAAATCTATTGCATACGCCAAGTCTATTGCATATGTGGTCTTTGATCCAGAAATATCTCCTTGAATTGGTGTTGAAGACGTGTCACATTACATGGGACGAAGGACTCAAGGGCAGGCGTTTTGATTAAACAAAAGGGGTTTTATTAAATTGAAACTAAACAGACTGGAAATAAACTGGAGATCCACAAGGGATCCAAATGAGACAAGTATTATGGGGAAGGCCACAGATGGCAAGAAGGAGCGATGTTAATGAGCAGACTGGGGAACACAGGACTGGGAAGCATGTATATACAGGACTTTCGAGGGAGCTAACGAGAGGAACAAGAGGTAAGACAAATGAGTAACAGGTGTGGCTTGTTAGGGTCACACTAGGGAGGAGACACAGGAGGGCAGGTGGACATGCTGAGCAGAACGTGACAGAATGCTGGTATTAAATATAATTATATTTATATTTTTTTTATTCTGACTTAGCAATAAAAAAAGATTGATTTTCCTTTTGTGACTTCCCTGGATATCTATGCTTAAAAAATGTCCAAAGGCAACTTCACCTTCACATATGGAGGTGAAAATGCTGTATAGTGCCTAAATGCGGTGCTGTAAGGACACACTGCCCCTTGTCATCCTGACTTTTGTTCTATTTTGGTCCTTCTCATGAAATAACTCACTGTTAGAACAAAAAAAATCAGGAGGACAAGGCCAGTTATTAATACTCCCTATAATCTATAATGAAACTGTCAATGATAGGTCCATGTTATGTTTCATACTGTTCAACATTATTTGGGATAATGGCGGTCAACTACATTGTTTTTAATTTTTATTTATTTATTTTTTTTGCACACTTGGATACACCTCAGACATCTCTAAATGTAAGGTTAAAGGAAATTTTGTGTAATTGGGTGGTTCATTGCTTTTTTTTAAATCAAAAATTATGGTAGTACATAAAGCAGAATAATGGCGGCAGCATTCCTTTACAGTGAAATCGGGGGAAAAAAGGAAAGAAAACACATCCAAGGACTAACTTTTGTGTATTGCATAATATTTTATAGCGTTACGGAATGCATTTATCCATACCGTAATACAAAGTCACTTACCAAGCACGGATAGTACGCAATTTGCACAGTTGCATCGGACGATAATGTAAGTTTAAATATTGAATTGATGCTATACCAGAGTTTCATTCCTCTCCCACCACATCGCTTTATGTGTAGCATAATGGGATTGGTGAAAACTGTAAAAAAAAAAAAAAAAAATACCATAAATTATTGTAGCTCAGTTACCCTCCCAAGTGTTACACCAGGCATACTAACTCTGATCGCTTAAGCGAAAAGCATCATCAGCTGACATTTATGAGCACATCATTTGAACTACAATCAAAATTAGAAAAAGCTACAGTTGAGGAAACATTTGACACCGCCGTCTCTAAAATTGTGAATGATACCCCCGGACCCACCCTTATTCAGCAAATCATTATTTAAAAAGAAAGGACAAAAAACACTCATTAGATGTCGTATCTTCTGAAGCTGTCCCCGACCCAATTTATTAGTTTATTGCAAAAAGTGCCCAGGTCTCAGGAAAACTTGGCAAGACCAATGGAAAATCGAAGGGCTGGTAAGGCAGCAGCTCGTGCGTCATTGTATTTGAATAAATAAGCTCGCACATACTGTAGGTTCAGTTTTTAGAAACGTTACACCTAGCTGTAGCATATGCACTCGCCAACAAAAAATGTTCACTTAAACCAATGTCACAATATGGGCTTACATACCGTTGAGTTGAATGGTGGTAACATGCAATGAAATATCAAAAACTATACATACAAACCCCAAATAACCTGCAGTTAGCTAAATTGTAAACTCGAGGAAATCCTTTGGGAGAAAACGGTTTGCAACTTAATTATAGGATACAATCTTCAGATAGGAGTTTTAGTCCCTGATAATATAAAACTGACCAATAATTAAACTGATAATTTGCGTGGCTCTTGAACTTATGCGATCCTATGATCTTCACGTCACAATAACAAAATCAAATTTCGCCGAGACATCCCCCACTCCCTGCCCGGCCAGTGAGGGATCAAGTGCGCATTCTCCAATAGCAGCGTCGCACTGAATGGGCTTTATGAGCATGGGAACATGGCACTTTTCACGTAGCGTCAGGCAGGTCGCCCAGCATTGCAAGAAGTGGTTGATTTAACAAGCAAATGACAGCATCGGTAGGAAGTAACTCGACAGGAAACATTACAGAAGACAAAACAGCGTTTTTAAAGGCAATCGCCAATACTTCCGAAGTCAGAGGTATGAGAGGTAGGGAGGAGACAGGGGGACCTGTTCACAGGTGTACGGAGTCCACTTTCACATGTAGTGAAAAAATTACCGATAATGAAGACGGAGATCGAGCAGTCATCCCGTGTGCCCTGAGAAGACCACGAAGCAACCATCCAAAATCCAAAGAGCACAAACGCCTGAACACTCACAAGTTGGTCCTGCAGTATATAGTGCCGTGCATGAATTCATACGGTCTTTGTATAGTGGACAATTTCCTCAGTAATAAAATTGGAGAGCGAATTTTTCAAGAAGTCATACATCTTCAGCAGGATGGTAAACTGCAAGACGGGGAGCTGGCGAGCCCACAGTTTGGCAAAAGCAAGTCCATTCGGGGAGACAAAATTGCGTGGGTGGAGGGGAACGAAAGAGGTTGCGAAAACATAGGCTTTCTTCTAACAAAAATGGACAAACTCATCACGTACGCCGACGGCAAACTAGGAAAATACAAAATTAGGGGAAGACATAAGGTGGGTATATATGCTTAATGTGAAACACTAGTATTTTTGAGAATCAGAGTTTATAAGGACACTGACTTTTGAGGACTTAAAAGTGATCAAAATAGGGTGTATAAATATTTAAAAGGGAATTTCAAAAGTAGGCTAATACTGTACAAAAACAATATTTTGTGACAACACATGATACGTTTTATTTAATATATGTCAATCAATGACTTACCTACCCAATGGAAGCATGTAAATACATAAACAATTAAATCAGCTGATTAACAGACCTTAAAAAATTATATCAACAGTAAGAAAAATGCCAACTAAATATTCTAACAAACGTGTAAATGACGCACTGAATAATGCAGAAATATACAGAGATATGGATTATACTGCAGAGATAAAGTAGTACAGATTTTATTAAATTACAAGTTTATGTTTTTTTATTATGAAATGATAATGAACGTAAATGCGTTTACTTAATATTAGTAGTTGTGAGCATGTATTTCGTGATTAAAAAATAAACAATATTTTGGCTTTCTGACGTGGAAAAAGGAAAATGTTAGGTGCAGCATGGGTTTTTGGCCATGTGCCACCCCCTGGTTTATAGCGAGCAGCGAGGGCTACATGCGCCTCGCGGAGTCCTCAATGGCGGAGGACAGCCCTATAGCGCTCACTCAAACAGACACTCCCTTTCCAGGCCTCCACATTTTTTGTAGTGTTACATAACGGCTATTTTACGCAGAACCTAATGTGCTTATGCACACGGTCGTATTTGTAATTTTAACTTATTAATATTGTTGGTTTGGATGTTTTCAGAAATATCTGTCTTAGATGCCTCTTAAAGCTATTCCTCAATGAATCCAGCTTTAATGTTACTAGAAGGTTGTGATATTGGCCGATATTTGTATATGGGGCAGTGAGAGTAAGTTAAATTTACCTTGCTTTACTGTAATACGGTAAAACAAAAAAAAAGCGCAAAAGTTGGTACCAAGCAGAAAGCCGAATGAGGATAAGCGTGACCCCGCCTCCGGAGTAGCTACAACACATCCTGCACGTTTCCCTTCACAATACTTATGCCTGCCTCTGTCCTGGTCTTTATAAACATGTCATTAACTTCATTAGCAAAGGAGAAACGAACAAGATCCCACTTTACTCCTATGAGATTTGCTGTATTTCTTCCGCAGCCTCTTCTCATCTTATCTGTTGTAGTAAACTGTTAGTCTGCTTGTAGCTGAAACATTGGAAGCAGTAGACTTTGCGTGCATTTTAATTCAGCATTTAAACGCGTTTTTTTATCTTTTTTTTTGCGGTACATATACGTAGTTTAAAATGCCTTTTCTCCAGCCTGTTACAGATACAGATTTGGAGAGACTGGCGTTGGATCGGGTTGTACCTTGTTTACTGAATTACGGTTTCTTTTATGTTGATAATTTTCTCGGAGACTTAATCGGACATTGCGTTTTGGACCAAGTGAAAGAAATCCACAATTCTGGTCTTTTACACGATGGCCAGCTTGCCGGTCGAAGGTATGGGGTTTCCAAAAGGCACATCAGAGGCGATAAGATAGCATGGGTTACTGGTACTGAAAAGGGCTGCGAAGCGATCAATTTCCTGCTTTCATTAATCGACAAGCTGGTAATGTTCTGCATCGGGAGACTTGGAAATAACAACATCCGAGAAAGATCTAAGGTAAATATATTATTAATGTCATTAATGCCGAGCTTAGGCATGTCGATACTTGCTAATTAAATCGTAGCGTTGAATATAGTTACGTTGTATCCCTGTTTGTAAATATAATACAAATAGCTACAAAGTATTAAATAAGGTGAATCGTTGATCTCATGCCGTTCTTTTAGAGTCTAACCGGGGATTTTTTCATATGTGGATCTTAGACTAAATTTTTAATTTAGGATATTATAGTGTATGAGCGGTGTCTGAACACGTACGGTGAGTAAATTAAATGGGCAAATGAACAAACTCAGCGCTTCCTATCATATTTCCAACCCCTAAAAATTAATAAGTAATGTGATATAAGTATTAAGGTCAGACAGGCACACACACACACACACACACACACACACATATATATAAGCACACACTTGTCACAATATGCAGAGATTTTCATTTTAGTGCTCAGATCGCTCCTTTTTATTCTATTTACTTTCACTTGTCACGGTGTGTTTTCCCTTCCGCTTTATTAGTCATCTGTCTTCCTTTACTCTGGGATGCGGCCCACCTCCCCCTTGCAACTCTGCAGCAGGTGGTTAAGCCACATGTGCCGTGTCATTCCAAGTGTGCGCAGTACGTGACTGCAGACACTGAGCAGAGCTGGGCCTTACGCGTTTCTGTTTACACACACAGGAAGCCGCACTGTGCGGCAGGAAATGGAGCGTGCACTGTTCAGGGCCACAGATCAGCTGCAGACTCCCGTCTGCGTCCCTTTGAAGAATAGTCTGGGAAAAAAAATGCACATATGCAATTTTGAAATGTGAAGTATTTCGGTGGTACATGCTTATTGTGGAGTTATTGACTACAATTTGTGTAGAATCCTATAGTTATTTTGAGTTTTACTAAATTTTAGTTATGTAAAATGTTGAATTAATAGTGCCTGTTACATATAACACCATTTGAAACCTGGTTTTATGGTAGTGGATGATTTGAAAATTGGATAGCCAACTGTAAGATGGTAAACAACTCCAGACACCAGATCAGGCAACTTTTTATCTAAAAAATCGAGGTAATATTTTATATGATCCCTGAAATGCTACAATATATCTTCATAAGCTGTCAGTGTTAGCAGATTTAAAATCTGTGAAATGAGTATTGCTACAGTGTTGCATAAATCCCTTAAAGATATAAGATGGAGAATGCATGGATGCACACATTACACGGTGATTTCCTGCAACTGGTTCTTCGGTGGTTGAGAGGTGAAAAATGCAGATTGCCTCCTCCACACATGTGGGTTCCAGCTCGGTCTGCGTGGGGACAGGGCTCCCTCACGCTCGACACGTAGCTCTGTCATTAAAGCTTCTTACCCTTGGCAGCCAGCCAGCAGGCTTTTGTGTAGGCCACGCCCCCTGACACCCCCTCCCCCATATCCCCACATAACCTAGTGCTGCTGTTTGTGCTGTGCTAGTCTGACGGCAGGCGTTCTATCTTTGCTGCTGTAACAGGAGGGGAAAATTCGGCATGATGCATGATCCTGGATTAGCTGTTAGGGGATGGATGGATGGATGGAATTTTTATGGTACTTGATATTCCTACTGTGTACCTGATATTCTTTCTTGTAGATTATGTGGATTGAACAACTGTGGGATATAGCTGCCTTGGTTCAATATGACTGGTTCCATCAAAACCATGGCTGCCTTTCAGTGACTGAATGACTTCAGTTGTCTGCAGGTCTGGCAGCATTTTGAGTTGTCACTCTCCTGTTGATTGTGGTAGTTTCAATGCTGAGGGCTCCATCTGTCCCAGATGAATATCAGTCAAAGTGGGACTTAAGTGCACTTAATTAAAACTGAGTTCAGAATTATGGGATCTTAAGACATGGATTCCTGAGGAGCTGGTCTCCAGGTGGGGAGCCGGTCTCGGGGTGGGGAGCCGGTCTCCGGGTGGGGAGCCGGTCTCGGGGTGGGGGTGTGGAAGTGTTGGTTGTCTGAGGATGGAGGTCAGACTTAGGACAGTTTCACACTTGGGGATGTTGTAGTGATTTTTTTTTCTAAGACTAAGCTAAATGAAATTTGCTCATCACAGTTCTAAGTTTTACTCATATTTACTGTATATAGATGAATGTATCACAAATTGTGATCTACCAATATGTATTTTTTTGTATTATTATTATTTTTTTTTACTCTGGAAGGTGTTTTGTGCATTGTAGACATTTTGTTGTCACTGTCTTAGTTACATAAATCTGTGTTCTTGGCATTCCCTGTGTCATTGGCATTCCCTGTGTGCCTGGGCTAAGAGGAATAGCTGCTACCTGGGTAGTGGCGTCCATGTGTGTTGCTGAGTATTGGTCCAGTTAAATGCACTGTCTACTGCACTATGGTCTGTGGAGTAGATTACGAAAGGACTATGGTGAAGTTACACTTTTCTCTGCTCACCTTGTTTCCAGTAGAGAAAGCACAGCGTTCAGCCACTTTCTGTTTACATGCTGGGCAATCTCTTTAAGATGGGCGTTCCCTCTCCCCCTGTGGGTCCGTTTTCTTAAATGAATCACTTCGGCATGCTGGGCTAATGCCCAGAGGTCTCGCTGTATTTCTTGTGGAGCAGAAGAGTTTCAATTGCCTGAGATGAAATTTAAGTTCCTCCAAGGATCCTTTGCCCTCTGGAAAATCAACATAATTTGTTACAACTATTCATTTTTCCTTTTTACATTCTGTATCTTTGGTAGATTTTGCTTTGCATGTATATTGTTTTTGTCTGTCTCCTAGAAATCTTTCAGACTTGCTGGTTTATACTTGTGGCCATGTTTCCATCCAGGCAATGGTGGCCTGCTACCCGGGAAATGGCACAGGCTACATAAAGCACGTGGACAATCCCAACGGAGATGGCCGCTGTGTCACCTGCATCTACTACCTGAACAAGAACTGGGATGCCAAGGTGCACTAAACCGTTTCTGTTATCGCCTGTTAGCTTTGCTTACCTCTACATATTTCTGTGAGTTGTTGGTTCTAACATTATTATTGCAGTAATGCGTAATTTGAGTTGTCTGAACTTGCAAGGCAACTAATGATCACTTATCTTGTTTCTATTGCTCTTTAGGAAAATGGAGGAGTTCTTCGAATATTCCCTGAAGGGAAATCCTATGTAGCAGACATCGAGCCGCTGTTTGACCGGCTGCTGTTCTTCTGGTCCGACAGGAGGAATCCACACGAAGTCCAGCCATCCTACACTAAAAGGTGGGTCCCCGCTTCACGTTGTGTGTCGCCCAGTATGTGCCTGACTGAGCTCTGGCAGCATATAAAATGTGTTCTGGTTTTTAATGGCTCAGTCGGGAACTTGGGCAATTTCATGTAGAGATCCTCCTTTATGCTGGCAGACAATTTAGGATTTTTACGGTTATAGAGTTATGGTTCAGAGCTGTAGTTCAGCTGTGGAATTTCAAGAAATGGCTGGGGAAAATGGTTAGTGCTTATGGAGCATTCTGATAAATATTTGAACCAAGTAGTGTCATAGCTTTGACAATATAATACCTCCTGTTTGTGCTTGGGACATGTGCTAATTTGTTCTGTGTTGCAGGTATGCTATTACAGTTTGGTACTTTGACTCGGAAGAGAGGGCCGAAGCCAAAAGGAAGTTCAGAGATTTAACTGGTAAGTGCAACATCTGAAAAAGTGAATCAGACATTGTGTTTGGGGAATAAAATTCAATTAATTCTTAGTGCTCAATTTGTTGAACAAAAACTTGTTTTAATTCTGTAATAAATCAGTACCATTATGTAATGCAGCGTATTTCCAGTGATAATAAGATTGACATTAAACAGAGTTTTTTTTTGGATTGTGTTTTAAGATAATCACATAAAATGTTTGTGCTTTGTCGGGTACTGTTAGGGTCTCAGTCTGTCGGGTACTGTTGGGGTCTCAGTCTGTCGGGTACTGTTAGGGTCTCAGTTTCTTTTTCTATTTTAATGGCATGTTAAGATATCTAATAATTGCAATACATGTCTTTCTTTTCAGCAATTTCACAGGATAGGAGCACCTCCTGATCCCCCACCCCACCCCACCCCACCCCCGGATGTGTACCACGGAATACCCTGGGCCCACATCCAGGCCCAAGTACTGAACACGATTGTCTCTGGCATAGCACTTTAGTTTGTGTGTTCCGGACTTCTGTGGAGTATGAACCCTGGTATCTGCCAAAGCTTCACACATACATCTGGAATCATGGGAATTGTGTTAAGATTTTTTTTTTCTTTCCAGTTTGGTTTGGCCACTGGTATTTGGACATTTGGTTGCCACATTAAATCATTTTACGCACCCTATGGATTAAAGCATCAGCCCATCTGCCTTCCATAACCACTTACATTGTTGGTAATGGTGTTGGGGTCTCAGTCTGTCCCAGGATACCCAGGGTACATGGCAGGGAACGGAAAGACTGCGATCCTGAAGGGAATTAAAGTCCTGGAAAACTGCAACCTTACAGTAAATTTAAAATAAATGTCCTTAAATGCATTTAATTGTAAAATGATTTTTAATGATAAATTATTAAAGAGAATGAAAAAATTAATAAAACAGGACAGGGAGACGAATAAGCAGGGGTTTTCATCCATGATATATACCCTTCTTAGAAACATAAGGCAGCACAAGAAAAAATGTCCCTCTACTTCCTTCTGAATCCCTTTAAAGCCTATTTAGGAAACTAACCAAAGGACACATTTAGATCAAATATAAGACATTATCTATTTGAATGAATTTCATATATTTTTTTGTGATTTCCATTGGCTATGTGTTTTGGAGCAGTTTCGCAGAAAATTTAGAAGAACATATTACATGTTTATAATTTACTATATATGTCTGACTATACAGTCTTAAGTAAAGATACGTGGTTTGCTTGAATGATGTGTAGCTTCAAAACAACAATGAAAAGATTTTGTTTGAGTGACCCTGAGTAATTGCAAGATTTAATGGCCAGGAAAACCTGAGAATCCAATGAAATTATTAATATTAAAATAGTTCTTAATAATATCATAGTTCCATTTGTTTTAAGTGAACTTACTGTACTGTATACTCAGAATTTATATTAAAATATGTCTGATAGTGTAAATCTATATTAATGTAAACAGCTTGCACCAAAATTAGTTTATAAAAAGCCTAAACTGAGCTGTACTGAAAGGTCAACGAGGTGAATGTGGAAAATGAACAAATAGAGAGTGATAAATCAGTTGTTAACAGCAGTGACATATACAGGGCTGGATGTCTGGCATGTTAGATGTTTTTGTTGATTGATTTCTGAAGATTTACTTTTTATTCAAATTTATTATTCTGAATGAAATTTCATGCCAATTTATTATGGCCTCAAATATTAACAACATATGAGAAATTAACTTAAAATTTAAGCTAATAAACACATACTCTTACGATAATGTCACCACAATTGCAACAGTTCAGATTTTTCATATAGCAATCAGACATGAAAAATGCTTGTATAGTAATTGACTGTCTGACGTCTTCATTTAAACACTTTTTACTGAACAATCTGCTCAGTCTACTTCTGTTCACTCTGCTTTTCTAACCATTTAAAGAAGTTAAAGAATCCCGTTCTTTAAAATGCAATGCAAGTTAATATCATCTTCGTAAACTAAATGCCATATATTTGTAAAATACATGTACATAGTGCGTTTTAAGTAATTTATTGTTATGCTTTCTTAAGTACATGTTATTAATAGTTTTGCCTATTTAAGGTAAAGAATTATGCTTAAAAAAGAAATAGAAATACAATTTTGAGTTAAAGTAAGTTGGCTCGCCAGACCCCTGAAAGTTATCTGAGTTGATCTGAGAAGTTCTGTCAATATAGATTCTTCAGTACAGATGTTCAGTACAGATTTTTTTTTTTAAATACAGGAGCACAACATGTAGATGGTAAATTTTGTACAAATTGGGTGATTATGTGTATAGAAAAACATTTATTTTTTTTGCAAATAATCCTATTTATATTCATCAGTCAGAAGAATTTAAACAATTTGGATTCAGGCATTAAACGTATTCTCAAGGGTTACTCTGACAATAGCAATATAAAGCACTTCAGTTTTCCAATTTTACAATTCAACTAAACTTTACTTTTTCTATGTATATTAGTGCGTTTGAAATTTTGTTCTGCCAGAAATCTTCAATTGCAGTTGTTGAGTTGTGAGATGTACTTGACTTATGAAATAGGTTTAAAGGATTTTCAGATCCCCACGATCCTGCATAAGATAAAGGGGCATAGAGGATGGATGGATGGATGTTCAGACAAACTCTTGAAAAAAACTCTTGCTTGAGAAAATAGGGAGCAATTTCACTTTATCTCACCTTCAAATATCTTTCCATCCTGGACTTCCTACAAGCACCCTTAAGGATAAAGTGTTTTCAGATCTTCTTTTGAAGTTTTATCCTGTATTATTTTTACATTATATAGTGATAATGATTTCTGTGTATGTTATCTGTCGATAGTCTGATTCAGACAATTGAATGTTAGATGCAGTTTTACTGTTTTAATCATGATTATACAAGGACTGTATTGAAGCATCCGTCCTTATTTTGTATGTGAAACTTAGAGCTGCTAACTCATCATTAGACATTAAATTTAATGTCTGTTGTTGTGTGGGTCATGGCTTGCAGTGGAAGTTCAGCCTGCAGTTACGGGCAATTATGATTAGTAAGTCAGTCAAATCCCCATCATCCTCATGTAACATTTCCCAGTCTGTTTTGAGAGAAGTGTGATCATATTAAGATTAACATTCCCAGCATTTTGGGAAAGTATGTACTTTGTGTTTCTGTGTGCTTTAAATGACTTTGTAAGAAATATGCTTTATTTAATGTAATGATACAGTAACCTTTAAGCCAGCTTGCATGCTGGTCAGCAGTGCTGGTCACTTAGACAATAGTTTTGGAAAACTCAAATTATTACTGTAAGCCTTTGTTGTCTTAATGCTTTTTGAGAAATAAAGTGCTTTTTCCACAATTGTGATGTCATCACTGTGCTCGCATGTTAGAACGGTGGACGGACACTACAACACCATCAGGTATTAGTACACATTTTATATAATTATAATTAAATGCTTAATGTATGTATAATTATACATATAACATTAATTATTATTATTAACATTAATTATTAGAGAGCAAACTGAGTGGGGAAAACTGGGGCCTCGCCCCCCCGGGGATGGGGGTTTGAGTCCCACTTTTTCTTGTGTGTGTGTCTGTGTGTGTTTTTGTAGTTATTAAATTTCCCCACAATGTGATAAAAACCTGTAACATTTAACCTTATTGGGACATTTGTTTCTGTGCCCACAAGAATAGCCTTAATTTTACAAAAATCTGTGACTGCAATCAAAAAACCAAAAATGCCAAAAGTCTGCTTGTTTGGTTACTTATTGTTAAGGTTAGGGCTGGGTAGGGGTTAAGGTTGTCATAGTTGGGGTATCCGCATAGAAATTAAGAGAGTGCCCATGAAAATATTAACATGTGGACTGTGTGTGTGTGTGTATGGGTGTGTGGGGGGATGTATTTGTATGTGTGTGTCTGTATGTGTGCATATGTGTGTGTGTTTACATGTATGTGTGTGTAGTTTTCATTATATTTTCCTCATATCATGTTGGGACTCTGGGTTCTTTGCACATTCCCAAGACATGCAGTTCAGCTAATTGGTGGGATGGGAGAGGGTTTCATAAGGGGTTGGAAGATGGAAAAATTACTGTATGGCGCCACCTAGTGTCTAATAAAATGAATGTTTATCTATGTAATGTGTGTGTGTGTGTGTATATATATATAAAGTGTGTGTGCGAGTGTATATATATATATATATATATAGAGAGAGAGAGAGAGAGAGAGATTTTGAATATAATCAATTATTGTCAATATTTCTACTTTGATTTCAGAATTCATTGACGTCAGTGCATCAATCAATCATTAATATCTTGATCATTACTACATTTGTACTGTAAAGCTTTTGAAGTCTTGCATTGGCACTCATGACTTCTTGACAGCAAAAACAATAGCTGTAGCGCTGGCAGTTTGACCCAAAAGCACATCTTGCCACTAGATGTCAGTGTTGCACAACAATTAGAATCAATATGAGATTTTTACCGTAAAGGACTTTAAACTTTTCCATCCATCCATCTATCCACCCATTCATCCAACTTCCAACCACTTACACTGGTCAGAGCCTACGGCAGGTTGCAGAGCCGGGGTATGTCATGGATGCATACGCAGATCTGGGGGGCGGCAAGGGGGTGGCCATTGGCACCCTAGACAGAAACCTGGCCACCCGGTTGACCTCCCATCATAGCTGCATTTTTGTGCCGTTACTGTCAGCTTGTAACCTTAAATATCCCCTTATTTTCTAAATGCCTTATATTGATATTTAGGTTTATGTGCCACCCAAGGGCGTCGCCGCCATTAAATCTGAGAGGGACGTGTCCCCCTAACATTTCATAATTATTCGTTTGGACCCCCCACCCCCCCACCACACACACACACACACACACATTTAACATAAAATATTAGTTCACCCAGCACTGTTTCTATTGCTTCTCGCAAAACCCGGAAAACCCGCCAGTTTGTCCCCCCCCACATTCAAAATGCTTCTGACGCTCCTGGGGTCACCTCAAAATGACCTCCAGGTCCCACCCTGGCCACCTCACTGAAAATTTTCTGGCTCTGCCACTGCAAGGATGGAAGTTAATATGCCAGAAGTACAGGTACGCACACACACACACGCACACATACACACACACACACATGTAGGGTAAACATATCCTTATGGGGACCGCTCATTCATTTCAATGGGAAAAATGCTAATGCTAACTATGACAACCTTAACCCCTACCCTGCCCTAACCATAACCATAAGTAACCTAACAAAATACAAGAGTTTTTGCATTTTTAGTTTTTTCATAGCAGTCACCGATTTTTATAAAATAGAGTTTTCCCTTATGGGGATCAGGAAACCGGATATTTATCACGTTATGGGGACATTGTGTCCCCATAAGGATAGGTAAACCCGCTCGCACACACACACACACACGCACACACAGGGGGTACAGAGGGATAAATAATACATGGTAGATGGAATAGACAAATCAGTTATTTAAGAAACCGACTCCTGCTCCTTAATCCATTTTAGTTGCTGGAAATGTTGAGGCTGTAAATTAAGCTTTTGTTCTTGTTCTTGTTTGTGGAACAGGCCACAGTGTCATGCATCACAGCACCTCATGCAGGTGAAAGAGGAAGTGGGCATAGCTATGCATCAATAAGGTTTTAATGAGGGTCAACACTCAGTGATGCCAGGTATTAGAGTATGGTTTCCTGCTGATGTATTACATGACATACAACAGACAAGAGTCATTCTGGGGCTTTTGCAATAGGAGTTAATTACAAAGAGCAACACTGGGGTTGCGTGTTTTGCCAGGTACAGTGTGTATTTCCCATATCCTGCAGCTAGACTGATGAAAATCTTGCTGATTAGTGCATGGCTTTTTACTATAATTGATTGCTTTAGTGGTCATATGTAACCACCCCGCATATATTGTAAAATCACTCTGCTGGTCTTGGGTCTGTAACAAGCTCATATATTTGGGGGACTGAATAGAGATCAGTCTTTGACTCGTCGAAAGTCTATGCAACACCTTCTCTTAATACAAGGCTAGACCATCACTTGCAAATGTTTTAACAATCCTCAGTGTCATCATCATGTTCATCAGATCTTTGGAACGCAGAAATATAAAGGTCATTTTATTCATTGCCAGGGGGATTTCCTACATCACCAATGGAAATTGTATGACATGTACCTTGGACATTATATTCCAAGATTATTGTATGTCTACAGATAGCAGAACCCATACAATCTACAAAAATGAATGATCTCAGTACCCATATATATACACAATACGTCTTCTGTGACCAATGTAGAACAAAACTAATAATATTGATGAACAAGGTCAGGAAACAAAATGGTACCTCTCATGAAACCAGAATTATATTTGTTGTGTTTTTTGCAGTGTTCTGGATATTTAACAGATATATTCCTCCTTATTGGCCCTGTTTTTGCCCTTTTTCATTACAGTGCTATCCAACAGCAGTATTTGGGTACTTTAACATACCTTATGCTTCCTGCTGTTTGAGTTAGCTATCATTTAGAGTCACTTGTCCACCCTAAAATGCATTTTTCTGTGGAACCCATGCATTTATTGGGGAAAATAATATTTCTGTAAACCTGCAGAAATAGGAAACTTCACAGCATATATGGAATGCAATTGTGCAGTTTTGTTTTTCTGCTCTGCATATTGTCACAGCAGGAAATCCTTAATTTAAAAAAAATGTTAGTTGATGCTCCATCTAATGTTCCTAAAAACCTCGCATTATTTTTTATGTCATGGGGGAAATATTCTGGCTCTGACACTTACCGTAAGCAGGAACTTTTCAGGGAACAGGTGACCTTGGTTTAAACAGCATAGTGTAATCTTCAGTGTATGCTATGGCATATATATCTGTGTGTATGTATATCCTGTTTAAACCGGCAATGTCTTATTGTAAACAATCTTGTTATTTACACCCTACCTTACAATATTTATTTCACCTGCAGGGTGAAATTGCTGTGATCCCTAACAGTTCAAGAAATTTTGGTGCCAAAGCAGAAATGTTTAAAGCCATGAATCTCATTGATAAAAAAAAAAAACCACACACTGGAAATTGATTCTAAAATTGCAGCAATATTTATTATACAAAATAATACTTGTGAAAACTACTTCTATTACAGTAGCTCAGTGTGCTTGGTTTTATATATATAAATGACATTGGAATATATATAATTCCACTGTCGTTTATTACGAACGATAAATTTATGCCCTCCCATTGTATAGAGTAGCAAGTTATTAATTCACTGGAGTGAAGGTCTGATATTATTGCCAGCCAAATGGTCTCATATTTTGTCTTTATTATATATTGTGCACCTCCATTAATATGCCTTTTAGAATACATTGCTGTGTTTATACTGGATACCGTTTGCTAACAAAGTGCTTTGAAAGACTGATCCTGATTGATCAAATCCACCCTCCCTTCCACCCTAGACCTGCATCAAGTATGCCTACAGGCCAAACTGTTCCACACAGGATGCTATCGCTGTAACTCTCCACACAGCGCTAACCCACCTTGAACAGTGAGGAATGTGTGTGAGAATGCTGTTTGTGGACTACAGCGCAGCATTTATCGCCATTGCACCATTGTTAGTCACCAAACTCCTGGAGCTGGGCCCCAGTAATCCTCTATGTATGTGGATTAAGGACTTTCTAACCAACAGGCCACAGAGAGTTAGACTCGGACACCACTTTTCTCTGACCCTCAGCACCGGTGCGGCTCAAGGCTGTGTGCTGAGTCCCCTTCCATACTCCCTCTACACTGACGACACAACGGTGGTGGGGCTCTCAGGCGGGAACAAGGCAGCATGCAGAGATGAAGTCTACAATCTGGTAGAGTGAAGCACAGCAAACAACCTGTCACTGAATACAAAAAAAAAAAACAAAAACAAAAAAATCATTCTAGACTTCCAGAGATAGCAAGAGTACCATTCATCTCAACATCAGAGGAGAGGAAGAGGAAAGGGCTTCTAGCTACAAGTTCCTGGGAAGCCACATCACTGACGACCTCACAAGGACAACCACTCTGGTCAAGAAGACTCAGCAGCGGCTACACTTCTTACGGACACTTAGGAAGACCATCCTGGCTGCGGAGCTGCTTGTGTCCTTCTATCGCTGCTCTGTTGAGAGTGTATTGACATACGGTGTTACAGCTTGGTATGCCAACTGCACAGTGGCAGACAGGCGAGCAGTACAGAGAGTCACCAACACAGCCCAAAATATCTTTCACTGCTCTCACTGGAGGACATCTTCAGAACTGCAGAGTCAGTAACATCCTGAGACACAACTCACCCCTGCCATCACCTCTTCTCTCCCATCCCCAACCCGGA